CAGCGCCGCCTCCGGCACCTCCTCCAAATCCACCACCACCACCAGCCCCGCCTCCCAAACCACCGCCCGGGCCGAACCCATGACCGAACCTTTTCCTAATGGGCAAACCAAAGTGAGGCCTAGGAAGAAACTTCTGGTCATCAACCAACGTCGTCGCGGAGACGACAACATTAACACACAAAACCAGCAAAAGAGAAACCCCAACAACACTCGTTAATGACCTCATTCCCATCCAAACAAATTGTCCTTAACTAATCACGTATTATTAATTAGTGCCTTCTTCTTATAAACCCCCCACTGATTAATAATAATAATAATAAAAATGTTGTGAAATGGCATGCAAAAATGGGAGGGTACGTGACGATAATATATAGTGGTGGGGGGAATTGAACGGAATAGGATTTTTTTTTTAAAAAAAGAAAAAAGACACGTGGGTGGGGTCGTCAAACTCAAACACAAACTCAACTGTCACCCAATGAAGAGTAAATGCATGGTGGTTTGTGATAGGCCAGTGGGTTTAATTCCCATGCATATTATTTCCTCACGTTCACACTACTCATTCACTACTACGAGTATTAATTAGCAATGTCTCAATACATTTAAATATGGAGTATTAATTAGAAATGTTTTCCTTATTTATTTGATACATGTCATTCTTTTTTTTTGACGTGATTTTTAAATATGTGATTTTTATTTTTATTTCTATATTAATGTTTAAATAAGATGAATAAAAAATTAAAATTTTTGCTTCGTTATGTGTAATGTAATAACTATTTATAGGACGGAGGAAGTAGTTGTTACTCCCTCCGTCCCAAAAAGTCTTTTCTGTTTCATTTTTGCGCATCTCATAAAATATTTCTATCCCGTCTTGAATGCCAAAAAAACTCTCAAAATAACTTCTACCCATAATAAAAAAGAAATGTTGTAAATTTTAGGCATTTTAGATGTCGGTAGAAGTGTTTTATGGGATGCGCAAAAATGAAACAGGAAAAACTTTTTGGGATGGTAGTAGTATCAAATTTAGTGTTTAGTTTTAGGCTTATTTGCAAGGAACCATCTAATACTCATTATGTAATGATGATAAAGAAAAGTTCAGGACAATCATTTTTTATTTATATTTTGGTTTGTTTTATAAACTGTGATTGCTCGAGTCTAAGAATAATCACTTTTTAAATGTATTAGATATCGAAAGAATATGAACGACTTCTATGTCTATATTCATTTATATTTGAGTGTTATTCAATAAGTGGTGAGGAACTACATTATTATTATTATTATTACTCGTATTATTATTATTATTATTATAGTAAATTCTCAAAATGGTCCTCTGTAATAAAGTGTTTTTCCAATTCAGTCCTCTATAAGTTTAAATTACCTACATGGTCTTCTATAATTGAAATTTATTCCCAAGATAGTCCTTCGTAAATAATGTTACTCAAATGATGATTAATTGGGAGATATTTTGGTATTTTGATCATCCAAATTTAAAGTATATTCTCGAAACAGTTATTTGTGTACAACTAAATGCAAAATTTAAAAAAATACATTGACTATAAATAATTCATGAATTATTTAAAATTTATAAAAAATCTTTTAAATTTCAAATCAAATACACATCTTTAATTAGAAAAACCATTTTGGGAAAGCACTTCATTATAAATGATCATTTTAAGAATTAATTATAAATTTAGCGGATAAAAATACCAAAATACCCCTAATTAATCCTCATTTGAGTAACATTATTTACGAAGAACCATCTTGAGAATAAATATCCACGTATGTAATTAAAACTTATTGAGGACTGATTTGGGAAAACACCTTATTATAAAAGACTATTTTTAGAATTCACTATTATTATTATTATTAATAAAACAAATACGGACTCTAATTCCAAGTAATAATTAAGAATTTAAAGTTGTACTGGCAATAATTAATTTAAAATACGGAGTAGTCCGTATATAGTTGGTTCGACAAGATATCGGTAATCGATCTTTAATGGTTTGATAGGCCCGTTACGTTACTCCGTGGATTTACTACTTCCATCTGTTTCTACTATTTCGTTTGACTTCACCGCTGTCACATTAATTATATTGGTGTGTAGGTTTATATACTCATCTCGTTTACAAAAAATAAACTTTAACTACATTTGTTTGCAATTTAGTTTAGTTAAATAATACTATCTCCATCTCACAAAATCTTTCTGGTTTTGATTTTTAAAAGATTTACAAGAAGTGTATTTTGATGTTGACTTTTTAAAAAAAATCTTGAATGCGATGAGTAAAAATAGACGTGATGAGTCAATTATTAGTGAAAAAGTGTAATGTGATGTGCAGGTTAAGAATTAATTAGTAGTGGTAAGAGTAACCTTTTAATAAAAATGATAAAGGTTTTTTGAGATCGATGAAGAAAGAAAGGAGAAAAGTTTTGTGCAACGGAAGGAGTATTGCACAAGTTCAACCTAAAATTTATATACAGTACTCAAATGTGTAAATATATTTCTCTACAAAATAAGAGGTAACAAGATGCATAATCTTTTTATTTTAACAAACTATTAACATAAATAAAAAGAAACATGAAAAAGTTGTATTGTCATAAATTAAGACAATTAAATTGAGGAAAAGCAAGAAACAAAGGGGTGGGGGACAAATGGGGTACACCTTTGGTGTACCCCTAGCATTGCTCTAAATTGAGACACACCAAGCCTATGGGTGTGCCCTCCCCCTTCCCATTTTCCCTTTATATTTCTTCTAACTCCCTTTGTGCCCTCCCCTTTCCCATTTTCCCTTTCTTCCCTTGTCTCCCTGACGTTAGAAAGGATTAAACATGGAATGGTACTCACTTAATAAGGATTACGAAAATAATATTTGATAATTATGAAAAATCCTAGTTATAAAGGACGATATGGAGGATTTACTCTTTTTAATCCACTTTTGATATAGAAGTTAATAAATATGAAAAGTATATGATTGAAGTTTATATAAAAAAGTTAATTTTTTATAAATAAACTACAATCATACTTTTAATGGTGTACAAATTTTGACTCTTTATAAATAAATTACAATCATACATTTTTCATATTTACTAATTTTTATATTAAAAGTTGTTCAAAAAGAAAAAAATTCCCTAAACAGTCTTTTATAACTCAGTATTTTCTATATTTTGTCCATATTTATCAAATATTATGTTCGTGATCTTTATTAACTGGGTATCATTCCACGTTTAGTGATTGTCTAACGGCACGGAGACGAAAAAATAGACGAAGAATAAGACGTGGAATGATACCCAACTAATAACGACTGTCAACATAATACGAAGTATTTGATCGATAAATATGTACTAAATATGGAAAACCCGGGTTATAAAGGACTAATTAGAGAATTTAGTCTTTTTCTATCACTAACCACTCATATGTTTTTTTGCGATGAGTTGTGCTTTCATGTTTCGAAGATGGACTTTCTCACATGACATTTTTTTCAAAGAACTTATTTCATTTGTAATATTTATATACTAAAGTCTATGAAATTAATGTGGAACTTATGACCACAGAAACAATTTGCCTTTTTGGAGATGAGTAGTGCTAGAATCACAAAGAACTTAGACACAAACTTTACAAACTTACCATTTGTATATTTAATTTTTATTTTTGAATTATTTAAAATCATTTTACTCACTTGGAAAAGTGCATACATAGCAAGTTTGTGTACATTATATTGTGACTCTAGCATTACATTTTTTAAATATATTAACCGATGAATAAAGGTCAAATAACTTTAGCACCCTATAGAGTAGTCTCTGTTTTCAAAATTTATGTATGAAATTCGTATGGTCTCGAAGTATTGCACATATGCTCCTTTGACAATTTTCTGACCATTTTTCAGCGAAGAGGGATGCATTGGTGCCTGTACTCGAAATCACAGGAGGAACCAAAGTACATTTCTTATTTTTCATTTATTTTTTATCATTTTTTCACTCTTTGAATTTCTTAGACATCCAGAAAAAAAAAACTTTATTAACACGCTCAATAGCTAGTCTTTCCCTTTAAAGACTATTTTTGTACGGAGTCTTTTTATTTTTTCATGTTTTATTTTATTTTCTTTATTTTAATTTTTTCATATTCCTAATTTTATTTTTTGAACTTCCGAAAAAGCTTTTTCTTTTTGTTATATTATGGAAAACAAAAAAAATGAAAATGTTTAATTGGAGATAGATGAAGTATATGTTACTTTTTTCATTTCCTTTATTTTTCATTTCAAACACAAACGATTTTGAGATTTTAAAGCATTATTAAAAGAATTTAGAAAAGAAAACTTTTTTAAAAAGGAAACAAAGACAATGAAAAATGAGATAAAAATGGGAAAACCCAAAGAATAAAAGGAGGATGGAAAATGAGTTCTATTGCACCATGTGATTTGAAAAATAGGCACAAATACAATTAATAAGAAAAAATAGATGGAGACCAAACGTAGAATGATACCCAATTAATAAGAAATGTCAGCATAATATTTGATAAATGGAAAAACTGTTTAGCGAATTTACTATGGCTCTAAAAAAAGTTTAAAACAAAGGCATTATATTCTCTTTGATCTGATCTGTTAATGCGTCGGCAGGTTTGACAATAAAATAGGGTTTTCATTTGGTGGACTTTTCAGTAGATTAATTACATGTAATAATCGCTCATAAACGCATCTTCTTCATCATCAATTCCATCCATAGGGATGGATATATGATCAGAACCTCCGCGTTAGCCATTAATGCTGCTGTTTGTTTTTCACATTTATTATATTGGGCCTAGCTCTTCAATCATTTACTCTTTTACTCCTCCCGTCTACAAATAAACTTCCCATTGTACGTTATGATATTTGACTGAAGTTACTTTCAAATCATTTTATATTAAAAAACTACTCCCTCCGTCCGGAAACGTTCTTCCCATTTAACTTTTTACGGTCTCTAAGATTACACTTTGACCACTAATATCTTTATTTATACATGGATATATTTTATAAAAATTTGATATTTGAAAACTATATTTCAAAATAAATATATTCATATTAATGTTATATCGTAATACAATGTATTTTTTTCACATATCATAGTCAAAGTTTACAAGCTTTGACCAAGAAAAGTCAAATGAGAAGAATATTTCCGGATGGAGGGAGTATATCAAAAGATCTACAAAAACTAGAGATGACATGACTATATTATTTTATCAAATGAGTGACGAAAATAGGCCAACAAAGTGAATAAAGTTTGACCTTGTGAATAGTGAACGAGAAGTTTATTCGTGGACAGAGGGAGTATGGCTTAAAAAGGATGAGCCCCATCCCCGAGGGTCCCTTCAGATCCG